CATACATACTGTACATACATACATACATACTGTACATACATACATACATACATACATACATACATACATACATACATACTGTACATACTGTACATACATACATACATACTGTACATACATACATACATACATACTGTACATACATACATACATACTGTACATACATACATACATACTGTACATACATACATACATACTGTACATACATACATACATACTGTACATACATACATACATACATACATACATACATACATACATACATACATACATACATTCATACATACATTCATACATTCATTCATTCATTCATTCATACATACATACATACATACATACATACATACATACATACATACATACATACATACATGCATACATACATACATACACACATACAAACAAACAAACACACCAAACTTGTGGATTATATATAGTAAGGATATCGCTTAGTAGCATCTTACATATTATATTATTATATGATATTATAAAGATTACAAGGAGTTTCATAATGCCCTCCCGCCTCGCATGCCAGTGATTGCAGTTGGAATTGAGTGAGCCTCCATATAAAAGATATTGGGAGTTTCGCTTTAGTAACCATGCGTTTTGCAAGAAAACCATCTTAAGCAACTAACTAATAGTGGGTGAAAAGAATTTGATAAACTACTCCAACCTCAGAAGCTCCTGAATCTTGGCACACATAATTTTGGGATACCCTGTGCATAAAAAGAAAGCATTCAAATACTTCAATAATTAAGTGCGATGATGATAACCAGTAAAGCTACGCGTCAGAAGGCTCGAACCTGAGCGCTATGGCTCACGAGGGGTGACGTGACTTGGGACCGCTCAGCTCCTTTGCGCTTCCATGCTCGAGTCGAACACTACGCATTTTATCGTATTGCCTAACATCTTCGTCCTCGAGCAAGTTCGACGGCAGGACAGCGGGGAATTGGTAGCCGGATCCAACGACGACACGCATACACTCACTGATGTTTTAGGCCAGGACACGCGTCCACTCTGGCCGACGCGCAGGCGCCGGTATGCTGTTCGTGCCGGGATCCCTGCGCGCCCTATCAGGAGTGGCCCTTTGAGAAGTCGGGCGACAATGTGTCGTGCCGTTTCAGACCGGGAGGGCAACGTGATATGGGGGTCGTCGTAGATGACGATAGAGAGCCATCAAAATTTACGTGCAGGATCATTCTGTTCGAAATGAGTGCGATAAACGCAACTGATGAGAGATGTCAATTCAAATAATTGTCGGAGAATGTGATGAAAGTTCTTACTGGAAAAGAGGCACACTGTATGAATACTTGAGCCATGACGAAGAGCGAGCTCATTTCTATAATCGGTAACTGCGTTCCAGACTCTATCAATCTACTAAATTTCCCGTCAAAAGTTCCATAGTAAATTGAAGCTCGTAAGCTTGTTATTAGCAAGTATGGACAGCGACACTCATTAATGTCATTTCAGCCCACTGTGTGCTTTTATGCGCTGCTCTACTGATATATTGCAAATTAATCAATGAGGCGATTGAGGCCTTCGAGTTCGTTGCGAATAAACGACAAACTGTTCTACGAATCTCTCCGTCACAGATTCGTACTATTGATCTCCTCAAGAATCTCGTCTCGTCGGCTCCGGTTGTATTGGTACGCATGAAGAGCTGTCACAGTAGGATTAGTGGGTCGAGATCGATTCATGTTCATACATTCAGTTACCAGTGAGTCGTCCGATGTTGCTTTGTTCTATATCTCTTTCTACTCTTCCAATTTTGGCTGGGATTCGTAGTGGCTTAGAACCTGTGATTGAAGTGTTCGTCGGTACAACAATGGTGTGGGATTCCATTGGGTCTCAAAGGTTAGTTGTTCAGAGTAGGTAAATTTCCGTGATTTCGTTACCTAGTGATCACAACGATTGTCTGAGGTTAGCATTTAGTTTTTAGTGATTTTTGTTCCGTTTTAGGTCTATTTTCGTACCAAACTTGTTTCAATTTGGTGCGATTGTACTGTTTGGATGCTCACTCCAAAAACATCAGCCAGTGCCCATAATTTTGTGATATATCAGTAATTGCTCATCTTCAGCGTACTAGTATCTGACTCGTTATGCGCTGAACTCGTCATGAATAATGTACGATTAGATGGTCAAGTTGCGATAATATTGTCATGTTGTCCGTCAAATCCGGCGGACTCATCCTCGAAGGTGAGTTCGGAGAAGAGCATTTTGAAGGTCTTCAGCGAAGCGACTACAGTGCGTTTCACAAGTAGAAGATCACCCTCGAATTTGTTATTTACAGCATAAGCATCCAAGCACACATATTCCTGGCGCCACCATTAGATTCGTCCCCTTCAATAACCCTATATACCTGCTTTGATTTGCTCAACTTTTATATTAGCATTTATATACAGTGCGTTACAAAAGTATGTGCACACCCAACATTTTGTTTTTTTTTGGTAATAATATTGCTTTCTGAAAACCTGTGACCTTCACCATTCAATTCCTTGTGTGCGATAACCTACGAACACTTTCTCTGAGAAAGCATCGCAGCTGCTATCACAATTTTTTATTAAAGAAAAATTTTTCTGTCTCAAAAGTATGTGCATACTTTGCAAAAAACAAAAATATAACCGAGATCAGAAACCAATGGGGCCTCCTAAATTCCTGCAAAGGTTATCGATTACGAGGAGTCGTTTGAGAATGGTTTCATTACAGTAGGTTCTTTAGTTACCTTTGGAATAGAAAATTTTGAGTGTGCACACACTTTTGAAAATTCAACTGGGCCGCTATTTCTCATGCATTGCTGAATTCATTCGAGACCCTGGCAGCTATCACTCGCAACCTATTCCTGGCCGTTCACGTATTTTGACTGCTCAGTACAACAGGAGAATAGCCCATCTTGTGGCGAATACTTCTTTGTCTGTGAGTCAGATCCGAGCTCAGATGGGTTTATCAGTCTCG